ATGAGTCCTTGGTTGATCAGAATTGCATGTCTATATCTGTTTTCATGAGAAACCACTTTGAAGATATCAATATGTAATACAACAAGCATTGTTAATTCCCTACCACTTTGTTTGTAACTCCGTACTGTCTATACTGTTCCTTTGCTAGTTTGTAAAATGTTGTCTGTTAATATTTTCCTGTTTTTATTTAAAAAAAAAAAAAAAAAACTAGAGCTGTAATGACTTGGGATCACAACTATCAAAGAACTAAGAAATGTGAAAGGAATGTGGTCCTAGACACAGCAGGGCGGCTGGCCAGACAGGAAAGGGCAGTGTACACAAGCTAAGGTGTTTCCCACACGCTGCTCTGCAGGTGGGAAAGGTCAAGACATGGAACTTCTCAAAATAAACAAAAGTGACACGTCTCAATCTAGGAGGTGTTAAACACAACTAATTAGATAAAACTCTACTTTCATAAATCATCTCATGCTTTGTCTTCCAGCCTTAAATGAACTCAGACCCCTTCTAGCAATTAAAAAAAAACAAAAACAGGATTCTAATGTTATATATCCTCACAAGAAGCGTAGAAATAGTGATTTCAGGGGTTTAAAATACCTTTTACTTTTAGCTGCCTGAGAGGGCCTCCTAATCCTATTTTATTTTTCTTCATACTGCCCGTATCGGCTCTCCCTCCCACACATCCTGTGCACACGGGCACAACCGGAAACCCAAAGGGGCACAGCCTTGCTCTCGTAGGGCTCTGTCTGTTGTTCAGCCTGCCAAAACCTAGGATGGCTTAACATTTCCCAAGTGAGTGAAAAGGATTGCTCTATTTGTTACACCAACCACACCAAATACAGTACTAGTTGTAAATTGTGCTTTAATTTCTGCACTCAGATACGATGCAGTGAGAATACAGGTATAAACTTTTTTGTGCATCCAGAAGATAAAAAGCACATTTATACAGATATAGCCCAACAGCTTATTCCTTAAAAAAAAAACAGAAAAATCTGAATTTAATTAAAGCTAGTTTATCTTCAGTGTAAAAACCTGGAGGTATAAACAAAGTCAAGATATTATATACAGTAAATTATTCATGTACATTTCCAAACTTGCACAGTGCAGCATTTTAAAGTAAATCGTCTCATTTCAGCTTTTACTATTAAGCATAACCCACATCTGAATCTTGAATAAAAATTTCACAATATATAAACCTACTAATAATTCTGTACACAAATACAAGCTATAGAAATCTGATTTCAAATATAAATACATAAATTGTCATGACCTTACATGTTATAAGCTTGCTTATTTTGCTATAGTAACTTTTTAAAAAAATCATAGAAAAATACTTCAATGCACATTCAACTGCTATGATAAGGGCCATGGCCTTGTGCCTTTAAACCATATTTTATAGAGTATAAAGCATCACGCCAGGCATTTGGGGAATGAAAAGTACTAAGATTGAAGAGGCTACCACACAAATATTCATGTTATAACAAGGTAACAAAATAGTAAGCTCATAGTGTATTTGGAAGGAAATGGCAGAGAAGTGGAGATTAGTGCTAGTTTAAGAAGGCCCACAGAACATACACATGAAGAGAAACTCCCTTCCCTGTATTAAATTCTCTATGTACTTTTTAAAATGCCTATTGCAAGCCTAATGCTCACCTCACTCCTAAGACTCTTAAGGCAACAAAGACTGAGGTGTTTGTGTGGTCCCCAGAGACACAAATCCTGCCCTCCCCTCAGCCTGTTATCTTAACTGACCGCCTGGCTTGCGCATTAAGACGAGATGGAGCAGAGAAAAATGATTGTATGTACAAAGGCGACTCAGTGCAAATTGGAAACTCCTTTGTCAACAGCTTCAAATTCTCCTATTGCCTTCCAGCAGGTATTTCTAAACAACTAACGTTCAAATTGAGATCTATTCTGAAGAGCAAATATATAAAAGGCAAACTTTCAATCTGAAAGGTTCTAATGTAAGGGGTTTTTTTTCCCTTTCTTTTGTGGGATTTGAAAGAGTTCCATGAGAATGAAAAAACTGGTCCTTATAAAGTATATTTTCCTACATTAAAATATATATATAACTTTAGACAGTAGATCCAAGGAGACGACCAGGCATCACTGAGTTTTTTCTATGGCTTCTTAAATCACTGAGGTATCCTGTGAGAATCATCACTTCTGGCATTGATGTTTAGCTGCTTTCCCATGCAAGCCACATTTGCAAGAGGTTGACCCCAGCAGTCTGTGCAGGACCAGAGCAGGCGAGGCAAGCAGGTAGCTGGGAAGCAGCCGAGGAACTACACCAGACAAGCATGCTCTCAGGGTCTCCAAAGCCTTGGGGGAAGTGGAAGGCAGCTCAGCAAGGTGTTCAAAGACTGGGAAACTCCAGAGGCCAGGAAGATCCTCTGGCCAAAACACGAGATTCCCCCAGTCTCACCAGCAGGTTCAGCAGCAAAACACTGGGACTATGTGCTCCAAGGCAGGCAGTGCGGAGGGACAGTGCTGAGAAAAGACTCACAGCTGTCAGCACGGGGAGGAGTGGGTGGCGGCTGGCCCAACATTTGACATATGACACAGACCAGGAAGGAGGAAGGAGAGGCTGAGTGTTAGGGTATGTGGCAACAGTGGAACTTTCCAGCTTTTCTACAGACAAGGGGAACAAGAAAGGAAAAATGCTGTGGTTTAAGTAAATGCCATCCACCTTAGTACCTCTATCTCAGTCTTTCACTGCACACAAACACCACATAAGGCTGACCTTGCTCCTAACTGAAATGGGCCATCAACTTATGATTCCCAATGGTGGGATGAATTATCTTGGCACAGAAAGGACCAGAAGAAAGAAGCAAATCCAAGAATATCAAACTGAAGCTCTTTCTAGTAGTAAACTGGCCACTGGAGATTCTAATACTTAGGCATCAGAAAACAGCCACAATCCTATGATGGGTCAAGTAGGAATTCCTTCCAACTGATAATACTTGAGATACGGTTTTAATTGCATAGTCTTTCAGAACCATGAAAAAAATGAGAACCAGCTCTTTTCTTCAAGGCCTTGGTTTTCTCCAGCAGAGGCTGGGCTAGGACCCTCCTGGCATTAGCAAGCCACTAGGCCCAAGGACCAATGGTCCCAACCTCCCACACACCTCTCCACAGTCACCAAACACTCAAGTCACACATCCCCTAGGTCCACAAACTCGTCTTCTCGTTTGGCCAGATCTTCATCATCTCCCAAAGCTTTCCAACCGCTGGTGGGCAAGACAGGCTTGGACGAGTGTCGCTGGAGCAAAGCAAAGGGAAACAGCGAGGACAGGCGGACAGAGTTCCTCAGCAGGCAGGGTGCCTCGGCCTGGAGGGACACAGGGCTGAGGTGCCGCTCGTCGATTTTCTCTTGTAAGCTCTGGACTTCCTCCATCATTTCCAAGAGTTTGCCCATAGTGGCCACTCTGCCACCACCTACGATTTGGGCTTCTGGAATCCAACGCAAGTAGCGCTGTGCCCAAACTTTGATTTCTGGTCCCTCTATATGAGGCAACAACAAGCCGTGGTAGTCAGTAGGCTTGCTGTGCCAACTGTCATAAAACTCCCGGAAGTTGTCCTGTAGCTCATCCGAAGAGTTAATAAGTTTGCTAATTCTCTTGCCCAGGTTTTTAATTAAATGATCTGTCTCTTCCCTGAAAAATCCTCTTTTGGGAGATGACTTAGACTGGGTGAGTGGCAAAGAAAGTTGTCGTTGATGCTTTGAGAGAAAACACAAATAAAAATCTCTGGTTAACATAGTAGCACTGTTAGACTCGTTGCCATATGAAGAGAATAATCCTACTTTAACAAGTATCAAGAGACATCAGAATTGCCATGTGCATGCATATTCATTAAAATGCTATCACACGCAGAGGAAGGTGGGCTCTTACTTATTCTCATGCTGCAAATGTTCACTGCACACTCTATTATCAACAAAGGGAAGAGGCCAGGCACATGTGCAGGCCATGCAGAAAGGCATTCTGGGACATCAAGAATGGTGCTTTTGGGGAAACCTACTTCCCAGGACCCCTTCTGTCCCTCTCAGACAGAAGCTTTCTTTCTCTCAATAAATTGTTCCTACTCTTAACCTCTGTTGTTTCTAGAATTCATTCCTTGATTTCAGAGAACACGAACTTGGCATTTTGGACATCTAGTAGGTTGGGAGTTTCATTCCCCTATATCATTTGGGGGTGTTCCACCAAGATAATTGTGGAAGGACCATACACTGTGATCCTGTCAACTCCATCAGCTGTCAAGGTAGCAAGCCTGCACTCCTGGATGCACCACACCCAAATCAAGTTCTGGGAGTGTGAGAAACCATCACTGGAATAATCTTGTGAACCCTTACAATACTTAGGATTCCTGTTCAAGAAAAAACAAAACCTTCAGATAAGTAATCTAAGATGTTACTCTTAGCCCTTTTACTAATCACTTTACTACTTAAGAGAGAATGCAATTCCTTTCTAAGGTGGGCACAAGAACATGCATAGTCATTACAACAAATATCTTGCTGGCTATATGGTCTGCTCCCCTTGTGGAAGGCATCTAGATTACCTTGGTGAGTATCCTCTCTCTGAGGAGATGACTGGAATAAACTGTAAGACTATATTGATGAGTTATGAAAGAGTTCAATGGTTCATAGTTTAACCCACCATTACAAGGTAGCTGAGTGGCCTATAAACTATACTCTTAACAATCCTGGACATAATAGAATTTTTTCTAACGATGCCACTGAAGCCTCTTTAAAGGCTTTAGTAGGATCCTTATTAAATAAAAGGGTCCTATCCTGATGGCGAACAACCATGGAAATCAAGATGGCTATTTTCAGATATGGGATGATTATCTACAGTTACCTCTCACAATAAGACATCTTAGTAGAAAGACCCCCTTATGTTGGGAACAGAAAAATCACTCCTATTCTCATTGGCCTAACTCTACTAAATACTTAGTATAGATACTGCCTGAACAATGTATACACACAATAACTTTACAGGCTGAAGTCTGATTTGTAACAAACCGGTTTTATCACCCTGGAATGAGATGGGAAGCCCCCAATGGCACTCATTGGTCCTGGGGAACAAATATGTGGCCCTGGCTACATCCTGAATGGATAGGAAGATGCACACTGGGATTTGCATGGTTACAAGGCAGAAGTATCAAAAGTACTGACAAACCTGCAAACTTGCCCTACCTATAGCATCGATGGTCTAGAAGTGTTTTTCACTGGTATGATCACTTAGCTTCTATCTTTATCTCTTTCCTAGAGTTAGAGGATGTCATGCAACACAAAGAGGCTTTAACTATCTATATTCAGTGAGCCTTAAATGATACTGTGGCTGATCTCTCTCTCCTGAATGAAGAAGTAAAATTAATGGCAAGCCATCCTCCAAGATCAGATGGCATTAGATAGGCTAACAGCAGCCCAAGGGGGTACTTGTGCAATTATAAAAGCTGAATGTTGTGTGTACATTCCTAAACCTTCTCCTAATATCTCAGTAGTTGTTCAAGATATTAGACAGGTTAATGACTTGTCAGATTCTAAAATTTCCTGAACCTTCTCCTTATCCTCTTTATGGGAAGCTATTACTGGCTCCTCCTGGTAGAAAGCTTTGCTGGCTATATTCATAATTATCCTGTTGATTTTCTTATTTGGCCCAAGCAATTGTTTCTGTGGCCTTGTTTCCTCCAGACTTAAAGCTGTACATCTACCCAAGACAGGTACACTTGGCATCTATGCACAGCCTTTAGATAGATCATCTGTGGAGTATCTCTGACTGCAGATCACAGCTACAACTCTCCTTTTTTTCTTTTTTGGTTTTTTTTTTCTCCGGTACCAGGAACTGAACTCACGACCTTGCGCTTGCCAGGCAGGCGCTTTTACCGCTGAGCTAAATCCCCAGCCCCTAGCTACAACTCTCTTTAGCTGGAAATAGCCAAATCGGTCTTTGACCCTTGCCCCCTCATGGAAGTTAGGGGTACTTCTTCAGAGGAGAATATTATAGATAGCCAAGCTAGGTAGAAATATTGTAGGCAGTCAGACAGGGCTGGGCCCTCGAGAGGTCAACGCAGAACACAACTGTGGCTGGAGGACTACTCACTGAAGCCAGGCTTCAAAAAAAGGACTACTTACCCATATACTTGCCCTAGTAAGTAGGCATCAATCACCTTGGAGTGGACGACCAAACCTCCTTAGCCCACCCCTTCCAGAAAAGTCCTTGTCTGCCCATGTGGGCTTGCTCCATGACTTGTTTCCCCATTTGATTCCCATTTAATCAATATTACCCTAGCGACTATACTTGTTGTGTACTTATGGGTTGACCACAGCTTTGTACCACCTCACACCCATCCTATGATTTGCCATTGGATCAGTATTACCTAAGCACCTATACTTGTAATCTTACTGACTGGTTATAGTTCTGTCTCACCTTAAGCCTGCCTCACCTTGTGGCTTTGCTCAATAAAACACCCTTGAGAAGTGGGCCTGGTGGGCAACCCACTTTCCAGGCCCCCTCTGTCCCTCTCAGACAGAAGAATTTTTTCCTCTCAATAAATTCTTCCTACTGTTAAGAGAAAAAAAAAAGGAGCTTTTGATCCCCTCTTCCCCTGGACTGGGGCTATCAAAGAACACGAAGTATTCTAGAAGAACTAAATTAACTTAAAATAAGTCAATGATTTAAGAGAATTTGGGGGAAATGTCTATGCATTTCTCTTTCTTTCCTTTTCTATTATTGATTGATAAGGTCTCATTATGTAGTTCAGGCTGGCCTTGAACTCACTGTGTGGCCCAGGCTGGCCTCAAACTCAAGGTGATCTTCCTGCCTCGGACTCCCGAGGTACTGGAATTACATGTGTGCCACCATTATTCATTTCTTAAAGGGAACAAAATGTTTCCTCTTTGAGAACTTTAGGGCTGCTTAATTGCTACAATATTCTGTACTTATGCAATTCTCAGAAGCACATTGACTACCTGAAAATCCTATGTATGGACAAAGTAATTTAGAGCTTATGAGGCATCCAGTAGGAGTTTAAGCCTAAGTCATAAAGATTCTTTTGGACAAGAAAAATAAGTTGATGGGAAACAAACAAATTTTGTCAAGAGGAACCATCGAAGTTGTCCAGATGTTCTTGCCTGACAACCTACTTAATTCTCTCTACAGCTAAAGCAATGTGTTTTATTTTGGGGTGCACTGTGAGAGGGTTGTGAAGATAGGTGATTTGGTCAGGGGTTCCCCAGTGCTTAGAAGAGAAGTTAAAAAATATGGGGAAGAAGGTGGATTTTTTCAAATCCTTTGCTCCATGGATGTCCATTCAAAGAAAGAATAGAGCCAGGTGTGGTGGTGCCTGTAATCCTAGCACTCAGGAGGTTGAGGCAGGAGGATCACTGAGAGTTTGAGGCCAGCCTGGAACCCTATCTTAAAAAAACCAAAAACCAAAACAAAACAAAAAAGCAAAGAACAGATAAAAAAAAATTATTACCTGTATAATCTAACGGACTTTTGCCAGTGGGTCTTTCTTGTTAAAAAAAGGGAGGGGTAAAAAAAAAAAAAAAAAAAAGGGCGGGGGTTATAAAGGAAATATTTCCTTATTATAAGATATGGATAACAATATAAATAAAAGAAAGCAAAATCGTACAAACAACTGGTCATAACTCGGGGTGACCAGGACTTTAGACTCTTCATCTGGTGACAGGAGAGACGAAAGCCAGGAGTCAGCAGCAGCCTCTCTTCTCCACATACTCAGGGCCAGGGCGAAGCAATGTGCAGGAAACCTGTCACTGAGCACTTCCTGCCTGCTAGGTCCTGTCCTCAGCGCTTTATATACACTGACTTACCGACTTCGTAGTCACTGTTATGCCACACTATGTAACTGAGGCCCAGAAATCTGCTGTCAAAGCCATCAGCTACCAAGCACCAAAAGTCGTTCAATCCCAGCCTTACTCCAGAGCCTGCACTCTTAACTAAACTCTACTTGGTCCTGGAAGCCCTTTCCTCGCAGTCTCCTATGTGAATGGGATATTCAAGATGGGCCATGAGAGAGTACCATGCTCAAAGCTGGAGGTGGCCTAGGGCCGCAGCTGAGATGTACTGAGCTAACTGTGTCCTTCGCGCAGTAATTCAGAGTTCCATTTTGCGCTGGTCAGCCCAGTTTCCTGTCTCCACAGATGCCCCCGAGGCCAACTGTTCACTCAGCCAGGTGCCACAACCTGACATCTGGTCTTCTTACCCCAAGGCTTCTAAGTTCCTTCTGCCCAACCCCAGTTGTGCTTTATCCATTACAACCTGAAATCCTCTAGCCCTCTGGCTTAAATCTCCCCTCCCAAGCTCTCTCAGAGGAGAGGCCATATGCCACTATTTACAAGGAAAAGAGACAATTAGGAAACCTGGTTCCGAGAACGGAAGTGAAATCCTTTATTAGAAGGCAGAGCAGGCCTAGCCTGTCTCTGAGCCCCACCGGCTAGGAGCATTCAGGGATCTAGCTAACCTGTCCCGAGAAGTGCGCAGGCAGCCACCAGGGGGCAGAACACACTGAGGAAAAGCTGATCTTGGGCCACCTTGTTTAAGAGCTTACAGCAATGCCAGTCAAACTATCTAAAAAAGAGGTTTGAACTGCAACAGGGAAACATCCCCTGTGGCCTGGGAGAACTAAGAGGGCACAGTGGCAGTTCTCAGTCACTCAGCAGCTGATGTGGTCTCTGAGTGACCAAACCTAGCTAGGGTGCCAATGATTTTTAAACAGCAGAGCCGGCCAGCCTCTGTGCAGCCCTCGCAATCCGGCAGGGCCGCACCATAGCAGCGAGAAATTCAGACCAGGAGGCAGAGTGAGGCAAAGACACAGCATTGATCAGTGAGGGAACTCTAGAGTGTAATGCTACAGGAACCGGCATATTCTGAGTGGAACCCACATGGTCAATGCTCCTTTTAGTGTACTAACCACATACAAGGGTGGGTAAGGAGCAGGACTCCACGGCACAGCATAATATGGCAGCAGCGCCCTCAGTGGCATTCAGGAAAGGGCCATGTCTCATCAGGCCAAGGCTGATTTGTTAAAAGCAAAGGATTTTTCTAATGGACCTTGGCAACTTGACCATCACACCTCTGCACACCATTTTAAGGAATAAAACAGACAGTGCCAGACAGAACCCATGTTACTTCTATCCTTTACACACAGGGATGGCGGACAGATGAAAGGGTTCAGGTATGGGCATCTTACTTTGAAACGCATTCCTTTCCGCTGGCCTTTGTCCAGTTTTGGCTTTTCCACATAGAGAGGGTTTCTGAGCAGTGTCTGTGCTTTCGGTTCAAACTGTACAGACCAATCCCACACGGTAAGCAGATTCAAAGGCTTGCTTTGTGTATCCAGGCTTTCCCTACCCTGCCAAGACAAGCACAGGTCACCATGGTTCCAGGGCGGGCTCAGGAAGGCAAACACATATTCTCAGAAGCAGGCATCAGGCAGGGTGCTCCGCCTGCCCAGTGACTGAGCACTCACAGGCACCGCACCCTTCACGGCCAAAGCTTTTGGTGGTTATTCACTAACACCTCTCAGTGAGGGGTACAAAGGGAGAAGGATACTTATTTTTAGTAGACCACTAAAATGTTAGCCACTGGGCTGGGCAGTTTCAGAACAACCTTGTGAGATAACTACTGTCTTCTAATTTTACATTTGAGGAAACTGAGGCCCAGAAGACTAAAATAAACTGCCTGAGGTCACAAAGCTGGTGAGCTGCAGGACTAGGGGTAAAACAAAGGCTATCTCACTCAGAAGTCCAGGTTTAGTTACTCCCACTGGAGAATGGGACTTGGTAATCCTACTAGTTCAAGCAAGTGGCGGCCAGGAAAGGGCTGGTCGGAGACACTGAGGTTAGCTTAGAGTCAGCCCAATCGAATGTAGCCTCAAAAGGGGCTCTAAGGTGCAAGTTAAGCCTGGTTGTCCCCTTCTGTGTGGGGGTCTTCGTATCGCAAGAGTAACTCCAGACTCCAAACTGAGGGAAGAGGGGACACTCAATCTGCCTTTGAAAAGGACAGCTTTTAGCTGGGCACAATGGTGCACATCTGTAATGCCAGCTGCTTGGGAGGCTGAGGCAGAACGATTGCAAGTTTAAGTCTAGCCTGAGATCTTATATCAAGAAGGAGTGGGGGTGGGGGTGCAGCTACATCTCAGGGGTAGAGCACTTGCCTAGAATGTGAGGTTCAATCTCCAGCATCACAGGATGGGGTGGGGGTTAATTTGGCTTAATCTTCTACCTCTAGTACTTGACTCCAACTGAAATATTTATTATATGACCTTAGGCTCATTACTTATTCTCTGTGCTTCAGGGGCAATCACACATAACCCATAGGAGCTGTAAGGATTAAATATCTTTCCAGGTATAAAAACCTGGGAAGCACTTACACCGGCACCTGGTATGTAGTCAGTGGTAAATAAATAACATTTTAAGCACCAATCTCATTGTATCCTACTTGTGAAATGTGACTTCTTCAGCAAAGGTTTCTTAGAGGGACTCTTACCATGTTAGTATCTTTTTGATGAGGTGAGTTGAAGAAGAAGGTACTAAAAATAGGAATATATAGGCTATCTGACAAAACAGTCAGGTAAGTCTCGGTGAACTCAAACGCTGGAGGATGCTGGTGTACCAGCTGCCAGACACAATCTAAGAAAAGCAGGAACACAGGAACCTATGTGAAAATAAGACACATGTTATTTGGCAGCACAAAGCCCAAGACAAGCTGTCCCAACCTCAGAGACAGCCTCTCAGGAGCTGTGGAGTAACCACTTCTGAGCCCTATGTTCTCTGGGAAACACAGTATTCTCCATCCCACTATAAGCTAAAAACATGCTCAACTGAAACCACATGCTCATGAGTTAGTATCAGTATCTGGCAGTATGTGCGGAAGGCATATCAAAGACAAAGTATGTAAAATCTCATTATGGATCAGCACTAACAGATGAGCATTTGCAATTCATTTGAACACTAACTCTGAGCCCCAATTAAAAGAAATATCATCTCTCTCCAAAACAAACTATTCTTTTTCTTTTCTCTTTTTTTGGAGAAAGGGTCTCACTATGTTAGCTGGCCTTGAACTTACTATATCACACACGGTGGCCTCTAACTTGTGGTGTACCTCCTGCCTCAGCCTCCCAAGTACTGGAATTACAGATGTGTGCCACCATACCTGGCTAGTACCATTCTTATTAGTAATGCAAGAACTGTACTCAATGCAAAAACTACTCAATGATCATTGTTATTCTGAATGTTGCCAATAAAAAACTGTGTGTAGGGGGCGGGGGGAACCTGCCACTGACTGCCCACACACTAACTCAGAGTTGGTATCAGTCCTGGAGTCTGAGCTGGAATGAGAAGTCCCTGCCCATGAAGACCACAAGAAAGAGGGGCAAGACTGGGCAGAAGCAACAAAAATGATTTCCTAACATTTTTTTCACAAATACATGTTTGATCAATGGCCTCCTTTATTAGTTACTCAGAGGCAAGCCCTTTATAAGGTGTCTCTAGGGTACTCTGTCATTTACAAAGTGCTGGTCCTTGATTCACCAGTGACCCTGCCAGATAGGTAGGACAAGCTCCACGACAGTCTCTTTCCTGTAAGATCAGCACTGCCACGATCTCAGCCAGCGCGAGGAAGACAGAGGAGTTGAGAACTCAGGCTTGGATCAAAGGCCAGTCCTGCTTCAATTCCATCACAAATTATACTGGCCCATTCTCCTTCAAAACTCCAACACAGCAGTGCTAAGACACTTAGAACTGTTTATACGGCAACTTTATTTCACACCCCATTTTATGTACAGTAACATCACACAGAGTGAAAGACATCTGAACCTTATTGTCAGGGAAATGGGATCAGAAATATGAGTGACACAAACGGCTGGGGAACAGCGGGCTTGGTCTTCTCTTGGCCCCTTTTCCCATTACATCCATTGCCTGTCACTCCGTTTCTCAGGGTAAACAAAACTCACATTTTTCTCCATGCAGCATTGGCTCTCTGCCTGTCATCCTACATGAATCCCATCAACCTTTCAAATTACCTTCTCAAAGTCCCTTCCAAGACTGAAAGGTGGTGATTTCTATTCAACTTGATGGCCACATAAGAGCACAGGATGGGCCTGAAAGAAATCATCTGGCCTAGTGACAGAGCTCTGGCCCTTCCAGGAACCTGCCAAGAAGGTAGGAGCTGTGGCTTTCTGCTCCCACAGCTTACTGTGCCAAGCCATTCTGTACCACACAGATGTGCTGATTATCTGGAATAAGAAAAACCACAGCCAAGAGCAGTGGTGCACACCTGCAATCCCAGGTATTTAGGAGGCCAAGACGGGGTTGGGGGAGGGTGTTGCAAATTTGAGGCCAGCCTGGGCACTCAGGGAGACTATCTCAAAATTAAATAAAAGGTTTAGACATGTGGCTCAGCACTTAAGTGCTTGCCTGTCACCCATGCTCGAGGCTCTGGGTTCAAAGCGTAGCAAATGAACAAAACAAAACAGAACAGGAAAGAGGAAGAAAGAAAACCCCACAAATCTTGCTATGAGAATATGATAGTTATATGTGTGATTTAAATAAAGAAGGTCCATTTTCACTTTTCCCCACTAATCATCAATAAAGCAGCCAAGGAGCTTATAAAACTGTTTCCTAGACAAGTGGAGCATGCCTGTACTCCCAGAACTCTGGGAGGCTGAGGCAGGATTAAGTTTAAGCCCAGGCTGGGCAACTTAATAAGACCCTGTCTCATTTTTTAAAAAAGGGAGGGATGCTAGGGATACCGCTCAGTGGGAGAGTGCCTTCTTATCGTGTGCAAGGCCCTGCATTCAAGCCCAGCACCCCAGAATGTCAACAAATGAGGAGCGGGGAGGAAGGCAGAGCTGGGAACATAGCTCGGTGAGGAGGCCCTGGCCTGGCTTCAGTCTCTGGTGGTGGGTGGTGTCAATCTGGGAGTAAACTAGAACATGAAATCCTCCATGCCCGATTGCAGAGGCCCACCTGGACTGAGGCCATTCACAGAAGGGGCTGGGGCACAAGCTGTACATGCTGCTGCAGTGTGTACCCTTCACGTGGACTGTGCAGAAGAGAGGACTGACCATACCTGTCAGTATTTCTTCCTCCAGGAAGGTTTCACTATTGTTCAGAGCATTCACACTTAGACCACACGAACCGAGCCTACTTTCCTATCAAGTCTAAGCAGCCTGCGCTCTGTGAGCAGAAACACTACATCTGAAGGCAGGTATCGGTGAGGGCTGAGTAGCTCTCCCAGTGACTGCGACGGTCCACATGGAGGGAGCTTACCTCCTCTCTGTCGCTCTGGCGGAGATGGTTGCAACGATCCAAGAAACAGTGGCCTCCCATGACCCACTCCTTTTGGACAAGGCTCTGGAAACCAGTCCGGGTCCGACAGTGGGGGTCCATCATCACTTGCACCAGAGAAGAAAGGAGGCAGCAGAGGTCGGAGGCGTTCTCCTCTAGCAGGGTCCCAGCAGCAGCGTCAACAGGAAGGAGAGATGAGTGTTAAAGAGCTGTGGTGCTGTCACCTGAACCGTTTACCATAGGTTCCCACACCACAGCCTGCTGCTAACAGCCAAGCTTTTACTCCTGACAGGCAAGGGCCACTGACAAAAAAAGGGTAACACTTTCACACCGGGGACAAGTGCTTCTAGCTTGTGTAGCATAGGCTTCAGCACACACTGGTGCTAAGTATGGATTCGCTCACTGAATAAACGCAGCCTTGAAAAGCTGCTTTCAGCAGATGGGCACTCACACGTGCCACATGACAACAGTGGAGTCACCACACAGTGATGACCGCCAGGCTGCAGGCTGCGTGCACTGCCCCCTCCTGGGGTCAAAGCCGCTATCGCTGAAATGGCTCCAGGCCGCAGCTGCTTCTCAGACTCACCCAGCTCTCCCTTCCTCCAACCCTGAGTCCTGCACGAATTCTGCTGTGCAGAAAGTTTCCTATTTCTGAACTGCACCAAAATGATCTTATTCTTGGCCTGAGGGCTCTTTCCTTTTCTCTGTGAGCATGAGAGGTACTTGCTTCTCCCTGCCTAGCCTAGAGGAGAATTTTTCCTTGGCCCATTTCCAATGCCCACCTGGAATACACCTTATGAAACCCAAACATAAAAAGTCCACTGATATACTTGTTAACATTCATGGTGTACAGCAAATAAAAACACACCTGTATCCATGCATTTGTCTTAGTTTTAAGATCCTAAAAGCTAGGCATACATGTTCTCTATCACTTGCTTTTATGAAAGAAAGGACAGAGAGAGAGAGAGAGAGAGAGAGAGAGAGAGAGAGAGGAAGAGAGAGAGAGACAGAGAGAGAAGATCTGGGAGGGGTACACAGATTTCATAGAAACAGATTTTTATATTTCTCTTCCAGTGTTGTCAGTTTTCAAAACAAGTTTCACTTTTAGAGGAATCTTCTTTCTCACACCCGATGGGTGTTATAGTTCACCTCTGGGTGACAGGAAGAGGGACTGGAAAGTGAGATTTGAGGAGAGACAACTCAGAAGTCCATCTAGGAGTGAGAGACATCTCACTTAACCAGCTAAAGGTTCAGATTTCATTTGACCTGATTAGTGCAGTCTGGCCCTGGCTCCTTTCATCTTTCAGATCTCTAATATTCACCCTCCACCTTTTTAGGTCATTACAAATAATGTAGGGCAACTCTCCCAGTAGGCTGCAAACTTCTAGAAGGCAGGTGCACTGAGCGCTGTACATGACAGGTGCTCCATGAATGTACCCAACTCTTAGTGAGCTGGCAGCAAGTGGTCCAGAAGCTGCTAGAGATACATTTGCCAGTTCTGCTCTTCGATAATGAGTTTCAAGAATCAAAGGAAGCACCCTTGGGAATGACAAAAGCTTGGGGGTATAAAAGAAGACAATCTGCTTAACTTGTAATGTGGGGCTACAAGAAATAAAAGTCTAAAAAGCAAGCTGAGCCTACAGTCCAAGCTACTTGGAGAGTTGCAGGAGGATCACAGTAAGATCCTACCTCCATAAAAAAATAAAAAAATAAAAAAAAAAAAACCAACCCTAGATACTTTAGCTCATATTTAAATTACAGAGATGAACTGATTTACACTTGCTTTACACATTCAGAATAGTTTTGTCACTGCCCTTGTGTATTGCAAATTGAGTCCATAGAGGAAAAGGAAATCAAAGACCACTAATTTTCTACGGCAACTGCACACAGTTGTCAAACACAGATGTAAATAATTAAATCATCCATGAGTCTCTTTAAGTAAAAGGGATTACCAAAATATCACTTTGATCTAGTTGGTTCATAAACAAAATTCAAAACATTAAAAAACATGAGCTTTGGTAACCAATTTCTTCTTGGGCTGTGAACAGGACTGCCACATTCCAAGTGAAAGAATTTTATTTTAAGCTGTAACACTAAAATCCAAGGCAAGGGTTTCCAAGGGTAAAGAGGAAGGAATGGGGAGCATTTCTACACCAGTTTGCTCCCTTTAAGAGACAATTCACGTCCATTAAGCTACACATACACAAGAATGCATCTCCAGTGAAAGAAAATGGAAACCATCCTTTGTGCTTTAAATATATTACCTAAAAGAAGAATGTTCATATTTTGTGCTTCCATGTATTCTGTGATCTCTATTGCTCTTTTCAGACAACGTCTAAATAAGAGATAAGAAACAGGAGCATTAGTTCTTGAGCTTGGCACCATGAACAGTAGTTTTGATGTAGTCTGAAACTGTTTTTCAGTTTTCTAACTTTTTATTTTTTCAATAAAAAATTACCCAGAAAAGAAAACAATTACCACCTATGCTATTCACTTACCAAGTTACTCATCAGCCCATTAGAAACTAATTCTCGATATACAACACTTCCAAAAGGATTGAATCAGTATCTCAGATACCTGTCTTTCCATGTTCACTCAAGTATGTTCACAACAGCCAAGACGGGGACAATCAGAGTTCACTGACAAATTAATGTATGAGTACAATACTGTGTGTAAGATGGAATACTATTCAGCAATTAAACACAGAAAACATTTTTTAAAAACTTATGATTGTAGCAACAACAGATGAACCTGGAGGAAATACGCTGAGTGAAAAAGAGGCCAGGCACTGAAAGACAAATGCTGCAGGACGTCCCTTACATGTAACACGGACATACGCTGAACTTTCCTAACAGGGTAGAAGGGTAGTTCCCAAGGGAGAAAGAGGGGTGCAAAGATACAAACTTTCTGATCAAAAGATACAAACTTTCAGTTTTAAGTAGGAGGCTCAGCAAGAACGGTGAGGGATGCATTTTTACTAAGGCAATCATCACACAGTCTACATGTATACTGAATCACTGCACTGCGTACACTGGCCAGGAGTGGAGATCAGGCACACAGCATTTGCTCAGCATGTGTGAGGCCCTGGGTTAGAACTCCAGTACCACAAACAACAAGCAGTGTATATCTGATTATGTACAATCTTTGCTAACTCAGTGTTCAAAAAAACCAACTAAACAAACAAACAAAACCCAGAAACCAGAACAGTGGTATAAGAGAATACCAAAGTTGATGTAAAAAATGTTCCTAGGTAGCTGGGTGAGGCGGTGCACATGTGTCACACCCGTGCCCTGGAAGGCTAAGGCAGGAGGATCCTAGGTTTGAGCTCAGCCTCCACAGTTGAGTGAGACCCTGTCTCAAACTAAAACAAGGTCCTACATCCTACCGAGGATGTAGCTCAGTATGTAAGCCCTGGTTCAATCCTCAGATAGACTCACACACACACACACTCACTCTCTCTCTCTCTCTCTCACACACACACACACACACACGTACACCCCTCCTAGGTGATTTCTAAACTAGAAATTCTTACTGAAAGGTCATACCCCTCCCCTGCCTGCAAGCAATTCCTGGAGGGACTCGTAAATACCCATTCCTGGAGAACACTTCTGTGTCCATATTTATACAATGGTCAGCTGAGGGCATCAGTGTGGCTGAAATGACCCCATCTGCCTAGCAATCCTTTTTGTTCCTCTCTACCTATGTTATTCCTTTTGAATCTGTGGCCACTATCCAGATTGTTGCGGCTCTGACTTATCTCTTCCCTTACGTTGTCCGCAGCTAGCTGTGGTACCCACTCCATTCCTGTCTCCAACAGCCCTCAATCCCCACAGCTCAACCCTTTGCCTGGTTCAGGATCTCACCCTTCTCTGACCACCCTGCATAAGGAAGTGTTTTCTTTTACAACGCTGACCAACATGTTCATTATAAATTGAAATGTGGGGTACGCAGCAGCCTCTAGAAAGCCTAGCTGCTGCATGTGTAGCAGGCTGAGCCCCTCCTTGCAGTAGTCACTCAGAACTGAGACAGAGTACTGTGCCTGGGGCCAGGAGTGGTCCTCTCTTCCCTTGCACTGAACTTACACTTGGAACTATTCTGTCACGATCACCACTCATGTTTCCCATTTTGCTTCAATACATTAATTAGGCATCCTTTTCTTTTTTTTTTTGTCTTTTTGAGACAGGGTCTCGCTATGCAGTTTAGGTTGGCCTTGAGCTCACTTTGCAGCCCTGGTTGGTCTCCAACTTGAAATGATCCTCCTGCCTCAGCCTCCCGAGGAATACATTAATTAGGAAAGGTAATAAACTGTTCTCTGGGACTCAACCTAACTCCAAAGCCAAAAATGGCTGATTAACATTAATTAGGCATGATTCTAAAAAGTTATGCACACAGCCCTAGGTTCAATCTTCCCTATGCCCCAATACAATTAAATAGGTAGCACGGGGAGCCTCGGGTGGGGAGCGCCGGTCTTCGGACCGGCGACTCACTCCCGGCCTCGTGGTTCCCCGGAAGGAGGGCTTCCGGCACACAGGGAGCCTCGGGTGGGGAGCGCCAGTCTTCCGGCTGGCTAGCTTCCTGCCTGGTGGCTCCCGGAGGGTGGGCCCCCAGCACATGGGGAGCCATGCGGCGGCGAGCGCTATTGCGTGCCGGCCCTTAGGCCGGTCGCCGCCGCTCAATTGGGATCTATCATGACACAGAGAAACAGTGACACAATTGGCCCACCATGCACTGACTGCAGTTGCCCACCCACGGATGTCTGTGAATCATTGAAACTTTGAACAACCCCTGGGAATACGTGCCATACAACGGGCCACTCTTGCTGCTGCCATTGGGAACAAGAAAGGTCCAGAGCCAGCGGAGGAGCAGCTGCTGAACAAGGACTCAGAGAACATGAGAATGCAGACTAAGCCCACAGAGTCAGAGGTCCAGTGGACTGGGGTCACGAGAGCCGCTCGCAAGCTGTAAACCAGGAGGACCTTGCACAATACCTGCAGAGACTCATTGGAAGCCATTCTTCCCCTGACAGTACAGGATGTGGTGGAGCTCCGGAGAAGTCTGCAGCAGGATTCCTGCTGCCTGTGCTGACAGTTTGGGAGAGGACACTAACTGGTTGTGGGGTCCCAAAGCAATGGGAAGCTGGAGAGAAAAAGCTACAAAGAATGGCTTTCACCCCAGATAGCTCACTTGAGATGTTAGTAAGAATTGCCTCCTCAGTATTCTATAGCCATGATGAGGAGGAGGCCAAGGAGAGAAAACATAGAGACTGAGAAAAAGCAGCTGCTTTTGCTGCACCAATAAGAGAAACAGATCCCAGGTCTGATTCCCGGGGCTCCAAGAAGAACTCGACAACTGCATTCATCTGCTACCACTGTTAAAAGCCAGGCTACCTCAAGAGGAACTGCCCTAAGAGGCCCCATGGGCCATGCCCTGGATGCAAAGGAGACCACTGGAGATCGGTCTGCCCTCTGAGGTGGAGGCCCCAGAGCTCAGACCCATGCTACCAGTTAGTCCAACAGGAATGAGAGGGCTTGGGGCATGGTCTGCCTTCTCCCTCTGGCCAGACCATCATCTCCATCGAGGAGTCCTGGGTAATCATGACTATGGAGGAACAAGAAAACAGCCTGCTGCTAGTCACAGGTGCAAGTCTCTCGGTCCTTCTTTTCAATCCTGGCCTTCCTTCCAGCCATCATACCTCAGTGAAAGGAGTCACTGGTGAGGAAGTAATATGCTATTTTTCACAACCCTTAGGCTGTAACTACTTAGTAGATCCTTCTTGCATATCTCTGTCTTCCTGAGAAACCACTTTGAAGATACCACCACATATTACAGCAGCCATTGATATTTTCCTACTAATCTATCCATAACTGTGTTAAGTTTGTAATGTTCCTATCCTATTTCATAATGTATGTTTATTATTATGTGTTTCCTACAACAACCATTGAGAATAGTTAATGATTTTTCAATAGGTCACTCATGTATACCTCTATTTATTTTCTTTAGAAGCCACTTTGAAGATACCAAAGTATAGCACAACAACTCTTGATAATCTCCTACCTCTTTTGTCTCTAACTCACTATTATTTGTCTATTTGTTTTCCTGAGAAACTATTTTGTAGATAATAATATGTAAAACGATAACCATTAATAACTTCCTACCATTTTGTCTGTAATTTGCTAAGTCCCCCCTATTATTATGTTATCCTTCTTTTATTCTTTAAAATAAAAAAAAAAAAAAAACAATTAAATAGATAATATGCATGTAACACAAAGAGGTATTTAGTGCAAAGCCAGTACCCTGCCCATTCTCATGCCCCAGTTTCCTCCTGGAAACCAGACTAATTTTGGGTTGTCATGCCCTTTCCTATAGGCTTTCAATGTCTTGTCTATAGAGTATACTTCCTTGTAAGCAGGTAGCATGCTTGGTAAATTTCTATCAAATGTGCACAGAAGTGATTATCAAATGTGAATTCCAGCAAAGCATAGAATACGTAATCAAGAATATTTAAATTTGGGGTCAGGCGTGGTGGTGCATGCCTGGAATCCCAGCACTCGGGAAGCTGAGGCAGGAGGACTGCCAATAGTTTGAGGCCAGCCTAGACTACATAGTGAGTCCAAGACAGCTTGGACTATATACTGAGACCCTGTCTCAAAAAAACAAAAAAACCATAAAAAAACAGAATATTTAAATGTAAATGATCAAACAGTTAAATCATGTATCAATGTGCTCTAGTACTCTGAATCAGACAACTGTACAATTTATGAGCAAAACCATAGTTTAGATACCTGATTATGTCAAGCCAGCTGCTACTTTCCAAGAGAGAAAACCACTTGATATCTGTGTCCCAAAATTCAGTACTGTTATCTGAAAAAATAAAGAAAGATAGATGTCAGGTAATCATTCACATGCCTGCCACAAAATACCTGCACTGCTCCAATCAGTGGACCTAGACTCAACATGCAGAATCCAGAGAGAAGACTCCACTTTCAGTGAAGGGCATTTCAAAACGTCAGCTGAAAGGTTTTTAAACCACAGACCTCTAGAAGGTATGGTGCTCAGAAAGAGATCTTCATTGCTGAGCTAAGAAATGCCCTCTGCACACACAGAAAGCCATGGTCTATCCTGTAATTCATCAATGACAGTAACATGGGCTAGGCAGGAACAGTTGAGGCTGCTACTCCTAAAAGTAGAAAATGCAACAGATACATCCTTCTATGGAAGCCTAAATGAGATCTGGTTTTGTCAATAGCCTTTGGAGCACAAGACTCATTTTGTCATTAAGGCACACAAATATGGGTCTATTAGGCCCATGTTTATTATTTAGACTATTTCTACCAGTGAATTATTAATTTTAATTTTATGAGTTTTATTATATTACTTTTTCCCCCCCTGGTACCAGGGATTGAACTCATGACCTTGTGCTTGCCGGGTAGGCGCTGTGCCGCTGAGCTAAATCCCCAGCCTGAGTTTTATTATATGAAACAATGAGTGCCTAACAGGAAACAATAACACAAAAATAAAGTACTGGGTTTGTAATATTTATTATTTATAAAAAAGTATCAAATTTTCAACACTTGACTGGCTTTTGGTATACAAAATCTAAAAAAGAACATCAGAAATAAATTCCCATAGGAACTACAATGAAACCCAACAGCACGCTACAAAAAAAAAAAATCTTTGCTTCAATTATCACACCTAAGGCAGTCCGCAAATATGGCAATAGCACATTAGATATACACGCATCGCTTACAAGGACAGCACACTGTCTTGCTTTCCTGGCCTTTTTGTAGGACATAATTGACAGGTGTGCAAAAGTAGCAAAATGGGATTTGAACCCATGTTTATGCTCCGGCTAACTGGTTTTGTGTATGTTTACCCGGGCATCACAGAGGGTCCAGTATACCCACACCAGGATTTGGTAAAAATAAGTTTGTTTTCTTTTGATTTTTCTGGTAGAAGTAGCCCAGTTTAGTACAGTGGCACATGAAAATCCAGATTTCCAAGTTCTGGAGGCGGTCAGAAGTGAATCATCAAAGCTGGGTATGGTGGTGCACACCTGTAATCCCAGTACTTGGGAGGCAGAGGCAAGAGGATTACAGTGAGTTTGAGGCTAGCCTGGGCTACATGAGTTCAAGACCAGACTGAACACATAGCAAGACCCTGTCTCCAAAAAACTCCCAAAACCAAAAATAAAGCAAATCGTGCATGGATGATGAAGATGATCCATTATGGTAAAATACATGCTTTCATAACAGAAGAGTGGGGTGGTGGAGCACGCCTGTAATCCCAGCACTCGGGAGGCTGAGGCAGGAGGGTCATTGCGAGTTTGATACCAGCCTGGGCTACAAAGTAAGCTCCAGGCCAGCCTGAAATGCATAACAAGACCCTGTCTCAAAAAAAAAAAAAAAAAAAAGAAAGAAAGAAAACTGAGTTTGATTCCCAGTACCAGAAAAAAATAAAATAAATAAATTTTCTGACTATAGGCACTACATGGTTAAAAAACAAGAGAAACCAAAATGCTCTCCAATGGGCAACCTGGAATGCTGGGAAAGGAGAAAAGAGGACGGCTGTGTGATCACTGGCCCAGTAAGGAGGCCGCAGTGAAAAGCCTGGAGAGAGACGACAGGAACAGCGTGCAGATGCCAGCTGGCCTTACAGCCACCAGCCCTTCCACCACACAACAGTGACCCTTGCAGCAGTGAGCTCCTGCATACCACCAGTCCAGGGAAAAGGCACAGACGTTCACCCGATCCACACGGCATATCTTTCCCCATTTGACAGGAAGTTTTTGCTCAGCATTCTTCTCACCTATCAGAAACAGCTGTTTAAATTTAGAGTATGCAGTCTGGATTTCCTGCAGGGAGAGGAAGTTGCTTGATAAGTCTTCAGTTCTAACAATTTCATAAGGTGGCCTGTGGATGGTCTTGTAAATTCTAGGTATCAAAAAGTAACACGAGATTAAAGGAGCAAACATGAATTTAAAATAGCTTATTTTCCCTGAGCAATTATTACATAGAGTCTATGCTAAGAGCTCTGCAGGTATCTCTCCCCCCAGCCTCCCCCTGCCCTGGCACCATTTAACCCACATCAATGAGGCAACTGCTGCAGGACTACTGTCCCTAGTCAACAGGTAGGGAATGGAGAGCACAGAGCACAGTGGTCCAGCCCATGGTTAAGATGCTAGCAATCATGATTGGGGCCAACACACATTAACCTACTCCTTTTGCTGTTTTTCATTTATTTGCTTATATTTTTAAATTTCATTCTGAAACAGTTCCAACATGTAGAAAAGTAGAACACTACAGTGATGTACATCATAGTGTAGATTTGACAGCAATTAATACTACATCATGCTATGCCCCTAAATACTTTAGAATGCATCTCTAAACAGTACACTGACATTCTTAATAATTATGTTATACTGTCTCTTGCAAAGCAATTAAAAATGAACACTATATGTTGTATTCCTATAGCACTAAGCAAACAGCTGGTAAACAAAAATTTACACACAGCCAGGTGTGACGGCGCATCCCTGTTATCACAGAACCTGGGAGCATGAGATAGGAATTCAAGGCTAGCCAGGACTATAGAGTGAGACCCTGTCTCAAAAACCAAACACATGAAAAGAAACAGACACACTACTAAGAGCTATTTCCTGCTTCTTGGTAAACAAGACTGAACTACATAACAAATTATAGAATGAGTACTGACCCATCCAAGAAACTCTTCTGCATCTGCAAAATGCTGTCATCTTGTTCTTTGGGCAGTGCTGACATTTTCAAAAGGGCACTTCCGTTGTGGCATGACCAACACCATATCTGGAGAGGAAAAATCATTTGTTAGATGGAATATGCATTCATCCAGAGAGCAGGTAATCTTAGCATTCAAGTTCAGACAGGGAAATGCATAACTTCAGTATCATATTGCTAGATATAGTCAGTTTTATTAAGCCTGAGAGGATTTACTTAATTAAAAAAAAAAAAGACTGATTTAGTCTTTTTTCTTTAAAAAAATTTTTATTAGTACATGTATTATGTTCATTGTATGGAACTGGTATGTGCATAACACATCTCAATTCTTTTTTCCCCCTTCTCTCTACTCCCCTTTTATTTCCCCAGCATCTGATTTGTTTACTTAGCTTACAGGTCCTTTGAAAGTCAACTGTCATATGCACAGATTAAAAACCAGACTAATAGGCCAAAAAACACATAAAATACGTAAGACAATTATACTAAATCAAGGTACATTTTTAGATACATTTTCCATACTGGATTATAATAACTCTTCCTTCTTTTTTCCTCTTTTCTATTTTTCACTTGGTATTTTACTTATATATTGAATTTTCATATATGAGAAACTATGTGCTATTTAAACTTGTGTTTCTAATTTACTCAGCATTGTGGTCTCAAGGTGCATCCATTTTCCTACAAATGACTCACATTTATACTTCTTTATGGCAGAGTATGACTTAGTCCTAAAAAACAAAAATAGAACTAGTAGTCAGACTCCAACTCTCTTACGGTATAACACACACCCTTTGACTTAGCTTTACGCTGGTAACCTAGATGATCATAACAACATTATTATTATTAGGACAGTAGTGATTACTAAAATGCAGTTCACACGTCAGGTATCAATTTATTAATTTTCAGGTCATTCTCTATGGTAGGTAATGATTATTATTCCCATTTACAGCAAGGAACTGAGGTTCAAAGAGCCCAAGTAGCTGCAGTCTGATCCTAACGGCTGTGCTCTACTAGATGGCAACCAGGGGGCAGTGCCCATCGTCAGAGAAAGCCCCCACCAGGAAGATGGGTAAATACCAGACTCACAGGCAGAAGGCACTGCAGCAGGCTAGTAAGGGCATTAAGATGATGAAGATGCTACTCTACTTCTACAGCTTATACTCTCAAAATGAAGTAGAAGGTAGAATGTGGTGGACAATACAATTTCAAGAAAAAACAAAGTGAAGGCAAAGGATGCAGACACCCTGTAAGTGAGCACGAATGACAAGACAGCTTTTCTGTAAATACTGTGAGAGATTTTATTTATTTTGCAGGCGCAAAGGGAACCAAACTGTGAGGGCAAAGTAACCTGCCAGTGGAGCCTAGAATGGAGGAGTGGGGAGGGCTGGTTGGACAGGGAAGTACAGCTGTGGCTTCTGCGTCCTGCATGAAGGCTTCACTAAGGGTTCAAGAGTAATTAACAGCCAATCTTTGCTCTGCTGACCAAGCCATGGGTCCATACTCACTCACTTCTAGGGGCTCCTGGGGAACAGGATAGAATCTAGATGTGGGGGCGATGGCCAGCTGACTTGGAACAGATCAGCCAAGGAGAGTGAGGACAGAGAACACAGAACTGCCAAAGGGAACAACTCCCTCTGGGGCTATGCTGTACTTCAAGGTTCGTGTGAGGCGGAAGTGTTAGAGAAGACACGATGAAGGGCTCCTTGCTGTTCTTACTCCCTTGTCCAGCGTCATGCTAGGCAATGTGTGGCAACTGCACTCAAAGGTGGCAATACTTCAAATGCTCAGTAGTCATGCCCCCTAGTTGGTGCAGCTCACTTTGGATATGGAGGTGGGGACTCTTAGCTAGGACTGGGATGGCAGCATCCAAGAAATTAAAGGTTCTTAATCCACTTTATCTCCCCTCCTGGGACAAAAATGATAGGCTTTCCTTGGTTGTTTTTTTGTTTACTTATCTGTTTTCACACAGGATCCTGCTGTCATTCGGCTGTCCTTGGATTTGCTATGCAGCCCAGCCTGGCCTCGCACTCACAGCGATCGATCCTCCTACCTCAGCCTCTAGAGATATACACCACCATGCCTGGCTGGGCCCTTGTTGATATCCAATCCTGTCCTGTTTTTTTTTTTTTTCCGTCTTTTTGAGACAGGGTCTTGCCATGTAGTTCAGGCTGGCCTTGAGCTCACTTTGTAGCCCAGGCTGGTGTCGAACTCACAACGATCCTCCTGCCTCAGACTCCCAAGTACTGGGATTACAGGCATGAGCCACCACACTCAGCTAATTTAATCTTTTTTTTTTTTTTGGTACCAGGAATCAAACTCAGGACCTTGCGCTTGCTAGACAGGCACTTGTGCCACTGAGCTATATCCCCAGCCCATACTTAAGCTGGAACATGTGTAATGATAACCTCTACTCAGAAATGCCTCATTGCTTCTGAGGTACAGAAGAGCAACTTACTTCCTTGCTGTTCTTTATTTAAATAGTAAACAGAAACCAAGCTGGGCACGGCTCAGTTAAATGTCCTGGGTTCAACCCCAAGTATCATAAAAAATAAACAAGTGAAACAGCCAGGTATGTGTCTCAGTGCAAAGGCTCTGAGTTTAATCCCCAGAAGCACAAAAAGAAAAAAGAAAGCTTCCAGCCAGGGAGAGAATTCTCACAAGAATTTAGCAAAAAAATCTTTACCCATTGTTGCAACACATCAATTTCCCTTTGGGAAAGAGCCTCAAGAGTTCTGAGTAAAAATTACTTAACAGCAGGCAATAAGTAGTCACTTTTTTTCTTTTTGAGACAGGGTCTCATTATACATATAGCACTGGCTGGCCTTGAATTCACGATCTTCCTGCCTGAACCTCTCACATGCAGAGATCACACGCGTGCACCACCGCTCTCAGCAATCACATTTTTAAAGGAGAAATTACTCATTTCTCGGTGAATTTTAAGGTATCTCTATTAATAGAGTCAAAGACTTTTAGGGGAATATCTATAATTAGATGGGAGAAATCAGTTTAAGAAGGAAGGCATTAGAAGACCAAGACACTAGTGTTTCTAGAGCTAGCACAGCAATTTAGGAGGCGAGAAAGGGGAGAACGTAACTGTGTCACACACTGCAGGGTGTTACCGAGACCGCAGCTCCAAAGCTTAGCGAGGGCAATGTCTGCAGCGTGGGGGAGCAGAAGTCCTGCTGCAGCAAGAAGCAGGGGCTGGGGATGTAGCTCAGGAGCAGAGCATAGGTCTGATCCCTGACACCTCAAAAAAGAAAAAACAGGAAGAAGAAATGAGTAGAGAAAATAAGTATAGGCTTGTATGTATCCTTAGAAGTACAGGGTAGAACAGGACAGTAACCTGCCTGTCAAGGAAGGGCTTCTCCGCGATAGGGAAGGCCTCATTATGTCTTTTGAGAGAACACAGTTCAGAATCAACCGTGAAGAGGTAAGGCTGACAGAAGCAGGCTCCAGACAAAGCAATCCAGACACAGGCAGAGGTTCAGGTTCACCATAGAAGAAGCAAGAGGAGAGAAACAATAGGAGGCCGAGAAGGAAGCTGAGGGAATTCTTGTTAAGTCCTGGATCCCACAGAAGTAGAAGAAATGTGGCAGTGAGAATGACTTTATAAGCTGGGTGTAGTGGTACATGGCTGTAATTCCAGTACTAAGGAGGCTGAGGCAAGAGGATCCTGGGAGTCCAAAGCCAGTCTGGGCTACACAGTGAGTTCAAAGTCAGCCTGAACTATATAGTAAGAACCAGTCTCAAAAAAAAAAAAAAATGGGTATTACAAACTTAGAGAGAATGAAAACTTGCTCATACAGAGAGGGATGATACAGGAACCAAGTGAAGTTAAAGTCTGCTAAGCAGGACAAGGACCCAGCTGAGGCAAGGAAATGTTCAGTTTTCAGGGATCCCACTAAGTACAGTCTGCTGTTTAGTGTAAGCAAGCTACAGCAATGCTCATGAGCCCCAGAGCAAAAAAAAGATAAATACTCTGCAGAGGAACGAAGAGACCAAACTCTCCAGCACAGCAGCCAGGAGCTGCCTGACCGGAGGATCACACAGGTTGTCACTACAGAGAAGGAAGTACAGGCGGGAAGGAAGAGCAAGGTAGAGAGGCACAATAGAGACCACAGAGCCATGGAAACACCCTTGTCGGCATGCAGGAAAGGATGCATCCACTGCCCCGCTCACTCTGGCTGCAAATCGACAACGGCAATGGCTATGCGACACTAAGCGGGAATTTTAGGCTCTGTGCATCGCATCACAATGAAAACAAATCCAGGAATGGTCGCGAAGGCCCCTCACAATCTAGGCCCAAACTGGCTCTTTAACCTTGCTATTCCCCTATGCCCCCACTTTCCTTCCTTTTTTTTTTGTATTTCCTCCTTATGCTCTGGCTGAATATTAACTGCTACTACTGATTTGAGAGCTTATATGCTAGATCACAGAGAAAATATTACATATAAGTAATCTCAAAATTCACCAGTTTTCAAACCTTTGGTCTTATATTCTTCACACTGTTATAAATTACTGAGGACACCAAGAGCTTGTGTTTACGTGTGTTATAGTTACTGATATTTGCAATATTAGAAATTAAAACAGAGTAACTTTAAGAGTATTAACTCATTTTAAAACAATAAACCAACTGCATGTTAATATAAATAACACTTTCTACACCAAAAACAATTAGTATGAAAACTGGCACTGTTTTATATTTTTATAAATTTCTTAATATCTGGCTTAATAATAGCTTGGTTTCCCTATCTGTGCAACAGCAGCACAGAAGACTGGAGAATGAAGTGTAAACAGGAGAAAGCTCAGTAGGAATGAGAGGCAGGAAGAGGGACAAGTGAGGATGCAGCCCAAGAGGGTTAGGAACATTTATTTACTTACTTAGTTGTCATTTTCTCTGTAAGTCTGCTCCAGTCTGACAGACCTACGCTAACCAGGAAGCAACTAAGGTAGTGCTGCCTGCATTTTGCTGCCTAGGGGACATGTGGCAATACTGAGACATTTTTTGTTACCACAACATGAAAGGTGACAGCAACAATCCCTGAAATAATTTTTCAGCCTTGTTGAGAGTGCCTAGCCTGAGAAAGTCTACTGCAAATAGAACAAAAACCAAGAGGTTATATACAGCACTGTGTTTGCAATACTGATGATTTCAAAGGCCCATTTGAAAGGTCTAGGTTATTGAGCTTAACATATAATTTTGTCAGGTGTAGTGGTACACTTAGGAGGCTGAGGCTGGAGAACCCCACACGTCTGAGGCTAGCCTGGGCTATATAGTAAGTTCAAGCCCTGCTTGAAATACATGATGAGATCCTATCTCAAACAAACATAATTTCATCAAATATAAAATAAATTGCCTTTTTTCTTCAGTACTAGAAACTGAACCCCAGGCTTTCACAATGTTTTACATTACAGGCTTTATCATTCTTTTTATTCAGGAACAGAATCTCATTAAGTTGCTAAACTGCCCAGGTTGTAACCCTCTTATAAACGTTAAAATAGGTGTTTCAAAATTTGTTAAACATTGACTTTGGTGCTCTTAGTGATCTACTCAAGCGGAAAACTTACATGGTGCGCATGCTGGGCGAGAGACAGCCATGGCATGCACTGCGGGCTGGGCAGGGGGAAAGGCCCAACGGTACAGCGCTTGCCTAGCGAACACGAAGGTTTGATCCCCGCACTTCAACAAGAAAACAGAGACAGACACAACTGAAGAGCTCTACTCCCTGGGTAGGAATGTAAGTTGCACCTTGAGTAATTTCTTTCTGCTGTCCATTCATGCAAACTTCACGAATGCCTTTCAGAACATACAATTAAGGCAGATAGAATGAAGTAAGCAAATCTTTCCACAGTTTCTATCTACCACAATGATGCTGGTCTCCTGAGAACACTTTCTGGTTGCTGGTTTTTTTTTTTTTTTTTTTCGTTTGGTTTGGTTTGTTTTTTTCAGACAGGGTCTCGCTCTGTAGTTCAGGCTGGCTTTGAACTCACTATGTAGCGGAAGGTATACAGTCTAGGTCTTGAACTCACTGTGTAGCCTTAAGAGCCCCCTGTCCCAACTGGCATTACAGGTGTGCGCCACCACGCCCTGCCCTAAGAATGCTTTCTACTTCTCAGCCCAAGGCCTGGCTAGAATGCAGCGTAACTAAGAAAATGATATGCCCTAGCGATGGCGAATCGGCCCATTCCCATCTATGTGGACAGTCCGCCTTGTTTCTCCCTACTGTGCTGTGTGAAGGGTTGAAGGACAGAGGTTCCCATCTTCATTCTCCTAAGGTCCTGACTTTCAAAGTGCAATACACACTGCCCTGGGAGGCTACCCCACCCTTCCAGGTGGTCTGAGGTCACAACTACTTTCCCAGTAAACTGACACACAATTTATCTTTTCCGCTTTGCTGACATCCATGGTGGTGGGGGAGAAGCAGTGATGGGCAAGAACCCATGGAGGCTCAGAGCCCATCAAGGTGGGCCAAAGCCACCCTGGCCACCAGTCTGTACCACACTGTCACTACCAGCAGGAAGAAGAATCTGACTCCCCTGAGAATGGCCCTAACGAAGGGTTAAAGTGATTAATGCTACTGCCTTGACCATTATACGTCTTTAATATTCTGTGAGATGCGGGGGGTGAACAGTGAAGTACAATGCTCGCCTCAAGAACAGACCCTAGTATAACTGCCTAGCTGCTTCTTCTGTGGAGCTGAGTAACTGATACCAACTTCTGATACTCAGACTTTGGTATTGACAGACATTCATTCTAAAAAAAATGAAAACTGAGTCCATTACTTTACAGAACTGATAAATTGTTGACAGTGACAAAACACTGAGCTTTCAAGCAAAAAAAATAATTGTAGAAAACTAGTATATACCACTTTAGCTGTTTTAAGACTCTTCTGATGAGATGATATTAATATGATTTTAACCTTATATAATGAAATATGTTACTATTTAGAAGATCTGTATAACCTGCAAGTATTTTTCAAATGGCCAATGTATACCCTGAACTCATGGTGATCTCCTGTCTCCAGCCTCCCGAGGGCTGGGATTACAGGCATGCACAACCATGCCAGGCTAAATTTTTAAAAAATTTTCAGTATGATTTCTTAATATGACAAATATCAACAGGTATAATTCACATAAACAAAAAACTCTAAGAACATCAATAATTTTTAAAAATACAAAGATTCTTTAGCCCAGAAAGTTTGCCAACTATCACTAGGCCATTTATAGTTTGCCAACTATCACTATAAATGAAAGACTGCAAACTGGTAGGACGTGATCCAGCTCTGGCCCAAAGACCTGTTTTTGAAATATCTGAGTCACTCACGTATATTTAGAGATCAGAAAATCTCACACAAAAATCTATCTCTGGCTTCTCCTAAAAGATCGGGACATCTGGCAACAACTCACCCACATTCCCAGTGGCGTGCGCTGCCTGTACTGCCAAGCAGGCCCACGGGCCTGGGCAGAGGCCTCTGCACTGCAGGCTTCGCTCATTACCCACCCAGCCCGTGGGGGTTTCTGGGCACAGAATCTTGCTTCCAAGCTCATCTCCCATCAGGATGTGACCCTTTTGAGGAATCAGCCACTTGCAAAGTATGGCATTTATTTGTAATTTTTGTTCCTTACTAAATTCCCTGCGGGCTGGGAAACTTCCAGCCACCAATTAGGAATGGGAGGGACTGCCAGAGGTGCTTCCTTTCATCAGTGACACATTAAATATGACTCCCGTCGCATTCGAGTTTCTCGCAACCAAGACCTTCATATTGTCTCTCAGAGAAAATACAACCAAGCCTATACCAAGATTAACAATGCTGGTCAAAACGAACTTTAAATCCTACTGCCTTTAAAGTAGTCAGCTCAGATTCAAAGTGAGTTTAGGCATTAAACCAGCTTACTCTGAAGAGCAGACAGATCTGTAATAGTCAGCATTTTTCAATGTCACTGCTAAACTGAATGCATTTGTGAAAACTTCAAAACTGTTCCCAAGAGCCTAATGCCCCAGAGATCCTCCTCTAAGGAGTCCCTGTAATATTTCTGCATTGCTCTTGGATAAGGACAAAGCTCTTGAGCATCGAAGCCAAGGGGTTTAAGTAGGATCATTCTGTTCGGATGGCAACGAGCAGCCCGTGCCTCCCAGGGCGTCCAGCACACTTACTGGTATGCCATGACCCTGAAAGCGCAGCACATCCTCTTCCAGAAGAGGGGTGGGAACGACGAAGAATGCTGGCAACCTAGAAGACAGAGATACCATGAGATTTCAGTACTAGGCTTCACTCACAAAATATGAAGAAAGCTCAACCTCATGGAATACAAGAAAACTAGGCAAGATGTTATGAACTTGACCACATTTCCCTTCTCTGAAGAACCAGCTCAGTGGAACCGTCATTCTCAGTCTGGTGTAAAGCACTCTGGCCAAATCAGTCATGAATCTACGTTAAAATCCTGGCCCTGCCTCTGATTCACATAACCCTAGGTAAGTTATTCCACCTCTCTGAGTCTATTACCTCTTCCTTAAGATGAAGGAATGGAAAATGTTATATTTAAAAGTATATGAATTCCAAACTTGGGAGTGACCTTTCTCAACATGTAATAACAATACAAGCACCTGTATGGCTTTCAGTTATTACAATTCAGAGTGGCTATGATTGCTGCCCAAGTATCTTACGAAATACTGTGACATCAACAAACATACGTTCTACTGTGTGCTGGTCACTGTTCCACTAAACATGAATTACTCACTTCATCCTCCAACAAACCTTTCAGGTATATACTATGATGATTTCCATTCTACAGAAAAACAAACTGAACACAACACTGCTAAGGCCCTTCCAGTCACAATTAATAAGCATGTAATGGAGCTGAGACCAAACCCAGGCAGTATAACTGCAATTTTTCCAGGAAAAATATTATTTTTAGAAGGAACAATATTGTTAAGTAGTAGGACATGAGAAAGTTAGATTTCTAGAGTTGCAGAGATCAAAGATACATAGAGAGACAGTCTCTTCCAGTTGGCAGATGCGGATTTCTGTTAATAAGAAATCTGCCTAAGTTCCATCACTGTGGATCTTCAAGGAGTTTGAAATAAAGCCTCATAAGACATAAGATGCCTGTAGTATTACACTGTCATGGAAAATCATCATGGGCTTGTATGCATGCTGCATATTTGACATACATGTGCTAACAGAGTGAAAGAGATCAGAACTCAAATGTGATCAAGCCATTAATCAATCCACAAGGGATAGAAAAGTATATTAAATATCACTAGAAGGATTAATTATCCAAGTCCAGACTCTCAGAAACTATCACACATATAGCTTGATTTCTTCAGCAAACTGCAAACAAAAAAACGTAAGTGAAATTAAATTTAAGAAGTCTATCTATCAAATGCAAAATACCAATCTCAATGAATCTTGATTAACAACAACAAAACAGGTGAGAAGGTGAACCGGAAACTTAATCAGGGCTGGAGATAATCAGGGCTGCGGATGTGGCTGGAGACCCTACATACCCACCCCCATCCACAGGAGAGGTCAGTGGCGGTACAGAGAAAACAGGATTAGATACGAATTTGTAATAGTTAAGTCTGGGTAATAAGTAAAAGGGAATTGATCACTGATTCTGTACTGCTTGAACTTTTACATTAAATAAACTTTAAAGGTTAATTTTAAAAGAACAAAATTCCTACAAGATTATTATTTAAAATGGGATTTGGGAACCAATAGTCAAGGCTAAAATACCTCAAACCATCTACACTGCCAAGTGTATATAGCTTTTAAGGCCTGGAGTGTGTGACCCACTTATACGGTCAGTCTGAGTGGGTGGGCAAAAAGGTCCCTTTCTTCAGGTGTAGTCACTGAAGTAAAAGCTGCGTCACAGACAGTGGTTCCCAAATTCAGGCTGCCCACACAAACCACAATGGAAGATCAAAAACCTACCAACACCCAGGTTCCACCCCAGAACTTTTTTTTTTCCTTGAGATAGGGTCTTGTAGTTCTGGCTGGCCTTGGACTCACTGTGTAGTCCAGGCTAGTCTCAAACGCCAGGCGATCCTTCTGCCTCAGCCTTCCAAGTACTGAGATTACAGGTGTGCAGCACCATGACCAGCCCCACCCCAGACGATGAAAGCAAAGGCTTAAAAGCTCTCAAGGAATGCAATCAAAATGAGCCCTATTGTTCTAGAAAAGCCTGCTACTCAAAGTACACAGAAACATCACTGGGTGTGGCCAAGAGAACGGCTCAGGCTTCACCCCACCTTTAACAAGACCTCCAGGTGATTCAGATACACAGTAAACTGTGGGAACACTGCCAGCAGTGGCGAAACAATGGCCAGGGCTGTTCATATCACTGAAAGCTCTAACAGGCTTGCGGCACTGGACTAGACTGTAACCTGCACAGGTCTCCTTTCGCACCCTTTTTAGCACAGTCACCTATGGAGTCCTTTGAGCTACATTCTTGGCTCTTTCTGCAGTGGCTCATGCCATAATGCGGAAGTGGGCCTCACTGTTCTGAAAACTTCATCCAAGTTGAACATTTCACAACGCTAGCTAACCAGTTAATTTTCTCTGTATTAGCAAAAGCAAGCCAGCTCTCGGCAGACATGAAGAGCACACACCCAGGAAGGGCATGGAGGATGACTCGCCCATCCCGATCAGCTCAGGTGGATTCCACAGGGTCTCTGCTGACTGCCAATGGATACAAGCAATCAATCTTCCCTGCTTGGAAAACAGTTATTTTAGTTATTAGCATGGGTTTAGAACACAAAGTAAGCAGCCTTTCTCAGTACAGGACCATGTTAGTTGTGAGAAGTTCATGATCCACTCAGGCCCAGTGTTAGGATGCAGAACCTCTGGAGCAGTGTTACAGTGGCCAGCACCAATTCCTGGGTCCCCCTGGTTACACACAAGGCAGAGTCTACACACGCTGCAGCTCTACAGGGAGGTGGGATAAGAGAAAGGCTTTTCAAAACAGAATGAAAACAGAGGTACAGACCTGTAGAAGTGGAACAGCCAGCTCTGACCTTAGGAGTAAGTTTCTCATTCTTACTCAAAATGACAGGCATCCACTCCCCCAGTGGGGCTTTCATCTAGTTACTCAGTTTCCCCCACTTATTGAGCACCTCTCAGAAGCAGGGCACAGGGCTTGGGACAGGAAATATAATGAAGCAAAAACAGAGTGTCCTATCCTTGACTTCACAGAGCTGTAGGTTGCAGAAGTAAACACGAACTAAAAGGAGACAAAAATAAACTCGTAATCACACAAAGTACTATGAAAGATGCGTACAGTGCAATGAAAGCTTCCATGAAGAACCCTGACCCTTTCTGGGGCTCCCTCAGAAAGTAGCACTGAACTGAGATCTGAGATCTGATCAATGCAGTAGAGATAGCTAGCTCCTCATGTGCAGCTCAGAGCAAAGGGTGCTTCTAGACAGAAGACCTTGAGGCAGGACAGTTAGAGATAGGCAGGAGCCAAACCATGATAGGCCCTGGAGTGTTGGTTAAGGTTCTGTTCCACGACCCAAGGGAAACCACCGACCAGATGCATATGTAGAGCTCATTCAGAGGATGGGGATGCTACAGGACCAGAATGGACCGGAAAGACCACACAAGGAGCTACGGTAGTGGTTCCAGGGAGAAAAAAAGCACAGCTTTTTTTGTGTGCTACTCGAACCTGAGCAGTCCTAGCAGCATGGGTGGGCATGGGATGTTCTGAGTATCAAAATCTAGAAAAATGTTTTTACAAGGTGTGTTCAACAATATGGTGAATGCTGCTGCCACGTGCCGCCTAATGGATAGGAAGACTCATAAAAACAGTACAGTGTGTCCTTATCCATGCACCATGCAACCTCTCTCTAAAGTCAAAATGACCATAAAAGGTAAACCTTTTGAATAGACTGAGGACATCAAGACAGCCACAACAGCACAAAACACTCACAAAAGAGGACTTCTAGAGCTGCCTCAGTCATAAGAATGATGGGATAAGAGTGTTTGAAGCGAAGATGGCAATGTGTCTGATACTATAATAAATTTTTTAAAGATTTAAACATTCATGGGGCTGGGGATTTAGCTCAGTGGCACAACGCTTGCCTGGCAAGCACGAGGTCATGAGTTCGATTCCCAGTACCGGAAAAACAACAACAACAAAAAATTTAAACATTCATTGTATTTTCTATCACACATTGTGTTTTTTATATGCTCACATGTACTAAATGCCATAAATCAGCACAGGCTAGATTTTAAAAAATAATTCTGGGTGTCGGGCATAGGGGCACACACCTATAATCCCAGCTACTTGGGAGGCTGAGGCTAGAGGATCCTGAGCTCAAAGACAAACTGCATGAAATAGTGAGACCCTGCCTGAAACAACAACAAAAACCACCACAACCAATTCTGGGAATGTAGATAGCCTATATTAAAATCAACCTCACATCACAGGTCACAGGAACAGGAGTTTCTCAGCTCTTTGAGCAAGCTAGTTTTCCCCTTTTCAAGCTTTTCAACTGGGAAAGAAGAGAAAGCAAGAGAGGGCTGATAATAAAGCTCTGGGTAGAGTCAGGACCATACAGGCTCCCTGCACTGTCATCACAGCTCACACTGTGTGGGGTATCCCCTGTGTGTGTTTGGGACTGATCACAGTAAAAACTGGAAAGGCATGGTGGTGCACATGTGTAATCCCAGCATTCAGGGGGCTGAGGCAGGAGGATCATAGTGAGTTTGAGGCCAGCCTGAGCTATGTAGTTAGCTCAAGGCCAACCTGAACTACACAGCGAAACCACGTCTGAAAAAATATATGAAAAGCTCCACACAACTACGTTTCATAAAATTGTTAGCAAGTTGTGAGGAAGAATGTTCCAAAGTGATAAGATTCAAGTTTCTAAAAAGATTATGCAGAGTCACCCTTTAAAAATGTAGGTCAGATCACTGCCTCTGTTCAAACTCCCCCTCATTTCTCAGACTCAAAAGGATAGTCTTCCAAAAGCATGCAGAAAGCATCGAAAGTCCCCTTTCCTCCTTCTCCTCTGTCTCCCCTGCTCCTTCCCAAACCAACTCAATTCTTCTCTTTCTTCAAGGCCTGGCTCAAAGAACACCTATTCCTGAGGCCTCCTAACCAATCTTCTATCATTTCCAGCACTCCCTACCCTGTGCCTGCTGTTTTTCTCCACAACGCAGTGTGTGTGTGTGTGTGTGTGTGTGTGAGAGAGAGAGAGACAGAGAGAGTGAGAGAGAGAGAGACA